TATTGTTATTATTATCATTATTATTATTATTATTATTATTATTGTTATTATTATTATTATTATTATTATTATTATTATTATTATTATTATCATCATCATCATTATCATCATTATCATCATTATTACTAGCATTATTATTTATTTTTTATTATCAATATCATTATCATTTTTAATATTATTATCATTGTTATTAATTCTATCATTATTATTATTGTTATTACTATCATTATTACCATCATTAATGGTATTATTATTATCATTATTATTATTATTATTATTATTATTATTATTATTATTATTATTATTATCATCATTATTTTCAGTATAGTTATTACTGTTATTACTATTATTATTATTATTATTATTATTAGTAGTAGTAGTAGTAATATTATTATTATTATTATTATTATTATCATTATCATTATTACTATTATTATTATTATTGTTATTATTACTGTTATTATTTTCATTATTATTATTATTACTACTGTTATCATTATTACTACTATCGTCATTATTATTATCATATCATTATCATGCATTATCATTATTATTATTATTTTTATTACTATCATTATTATAATTATTGTCATAATCACCATCATTATCCTTATCCTTATCATCATCATTATTAACATTAGTAGTTCTGTTATTATTGTTCCTATTATTTTCATTATCAATATCACCGTCATTTATTTATATTGTCATTGTTATTACCATTATTATCATTATCATTATCATTATAATCATTGTTATTATTATTGTCGTTATTGTTATTATTATTATCATTATTATTAGTATCATCATCATTACTTTCATTACTAAATATTATGATAATAATGATAGTAATAAGGATAATAATAATAATAACAAGGATAATAATAATAATAATAATAGTAATAATGATAAAAACGATAATGATAATAACAATGATAATCATAATGATTACTATAATAGTTATTGCTATCATTATTATTATTAGCAGTAGTATCAATATTGTTATTAGCATCATATTCATCATCACTGTTATTGTTAACCCATTGCCGCCGGGGAAAATGAACAAACAATGATTTTTTTTTATATTTTTGTGAAATATCTCTGGCCATAGATGGCTCTGCTAGTCCTGGTTTCACCTTTCCTTAAATTGGCGGGAAAAACGTATTTTTACTAGTGCTATGAATATAGATGGTGTTATTTTTAACAGCAAATTAGGATAACGTTAAATATTTTCGTAAATCGAGGAAAAGGGTGAACGGGCGAGACAGGCAGTACTGTAATTGGCTCACTGGATACTTAGTACAAGTGTAGCCATCTATGTGTAAAAACAATCGAACAAGTCGACTCACAGTGGGCATGGCATGTACGTACTAATATTACTAATATAATAATAATGATAATGATAATGAGGATAACAGCAATAATAGTAATGATAATTATTATTGTTATTGTTAGGACTATTATTATCATTATTATTATCATTATCATTATCATCATCATCATTATTGTTATTATTTTTATTACTACTATTACTTATATTATTATGGTTTTAATCATCCCATCCACCTTGCTGAAACTTCCAAAATAGCCTCATTTACGTTTACCCCCCCCCCCCCCCTCTCCCCTACTCACCCCTCTCTCCACCTCTCCTTTATCCTGCACTTCTCCATCTATCCTCAACTTCTCCTCGTACCTCCCCTTTTTCCCCTCTCTCCTTCGCACTTTCATTTTCTCTCTTCTTCCCCTCCTCTTCCTCTTCACCCCCCCATCTCCCCCCATCACTCTCCAACCTTCTCCTAACATCTTTTTTTTCCCCCCATCCCTGTTTCGCATTTGCCATTCCTCCTCCTCCCTCCTTCTCCATCTCCTTTTTCGAACCTTCCTTACCGCCCACTCCTTTTCATACCTCCCTCTTCTCTCTTTCACTCCTACCTCCTCTCTTTCTCTTTCCCTTAACAACCAACGTTTTTCTCAGGAATGGACGATTTCCCTCTCTCTGTTCGGATACCTTTAGCATTAAATTCCTTATTCCGATTTGTGCTTGATATTTTTTTTTTTTTTTCATACACGCGATTGCATGCATAAAAGTATATTGCCACACATAGTGAATACTCAAATGTAAAAGAAGGCGAGCAAACGATATACATATATACTGTTTATGCAAACTGATACACACGCAAAAACACTCTAATAAAGATAAACCGACAACAAGGAACGCAAACACACTAGCATACTGTATACACTACACAATGGAACAAAATGAACACACGTACACCTTTCTTGCACCTATACAATATATAAAAGAAAATTCCTCCTGCAAAAGGGACAGCAGAAGAGAACAAGAGAAGCGCAAAGATAAGAATGAGAATAAGAATAAGAATGGAAATACGAGTAAGAGCAAGAATAAAAGTGGAGATAAGAAATGCGATCAGAACATCAGTTACCTTCAGGGACTGAACGTGAGAAAAGAAGCTTCTCTTGACGAAGAAAATGATGGGGTCTTTTTGGCCTTTGCACGAGATGGGGCTGGATCCTCCCTGGGTCTGTGTGCGTGTCTTTGTGCATACATACATACATACATATACATATATATATATATATATATATATATATATATATATATATATATATATATATATATATATATATATATATATATGTATATGTATATATATATGTATATATATATATATATATATATATATATATATATATATATATATATATATATATATATATATATATATATATATATATATATGGGTGTATATGGGAGAGAGATAACTTGGTAACTTGGAAAGAAAGAGGGAGATACATGTACATATATTTAGACAGGAGTGGATGAAAAAAGGAGACGGAGAGAAAATGGGATGAACAAAGCAAGAAAAGGGGCGAGAGAAAGAAAGAGAGAAAAGAGGGGAGTACATGATACAAAATCAAGGGACAGAGAATCGGAAGAGGAGCATGAAGATGGACAAATAAACGAAGAATAAGTAACAA